TTGAAATAGGATATACATCTGGAACTGATTAAAAGCGCAGTGAAATTGGGATGAAAGGGAGGAAAGAGAGAGATGACAGAATTCCAACACCAAGTACCACACCCAGCAACACTTGGAGGGTACCATCAGGGATAGAGGGTTACCCGTTGAAGGATGCTGGATGCTGCAAAATGGTTACCCCAAGGCCATCTCCAAGTTGTTTTTATACCTCTTGGAGGTCCTTAAAGTATCTTTAGTATCTAATTTGAGTGCTTATTCAATACTCTGTGCCAATTACATATCATTCTTTAGCCTCAAAAGGGCTAAAACCCTGTAAATACAAAAAAACAGGGGTTTTTTGGCTGAGTAAATTGGACACCCTCAAAATCCAGGGTTAGTTTTTGCTGTCTGCAACTGTAGTGGGTGCATGAAGCTTCCTCAGAGCAACTCCACACATGTTGCTATCAAGCAAGGATAGCATTGCACTGAAGCTTCCTCAGAGCAACTCCACACATTTTGATATCAAGCAAGGATAGAAACTCAAAATACGTATTACAGACAGGGTTCATTCTGTCCCACCAGACACAATTGAGTGTAACATTGAACAATTTCCTGAAATTGGAGGTGTTGAAAAGCTATAATATGAGGACTGAAGTGATGCCATGTAACACTCAAATTTTGTGTCTCTGATTCTTCAGGAAAAATATATGCTCATGAGATGTCAAGTGACATCATGTAACATTGATTGCTGCTCCCATGTAGCGTCAATTCTGTTGTGACTCAGCTTCAATGGCCCCTTTGTGTGCTACAAATGTCTGAGGCAGAGCTGAGCTGGATATTTACTGGTTACTAAGCTGGAGTTAGCTTGATTTCACTTTTCATCAAGTGTTCATTGTTTTTCCTGGAGATAGACAGATAGAGACGGAGAAAGAAAAATGTAAAATAGTGATCCAGATGGCAACTCTGATGGGTCATCTTTTTTGAGTTTAGGTTGCTCGTGGGATAGCAAACCCCGTGGTTTTGATCTCAAATCCAAGACCTGGCAGCACTGTCATTGACTGGGCTGACAGGATGGAGCATGGCTGCAGGCAGGGCTGTGCTATTGTTTTCCATATGGAGGGCAGATTGAAAGCAGGAGCTGATTAGGACAGGGTGTTGAGGTGGAGGCAGAGTGCAATTAAAGACCAAATTATCAAGCCAAGGACATGGTGTCTGCATCCAATTCTTGGGAATAAGCTCAAGTTGAACTCGATGGAGGGCAATGATGTTGAGAGAGCGGATCGGCGCCGAGCTAGTGCGGGTCGGATTTTTACCATTTTCGGCTGCTCCGGCGCAGCACGCTCATGTTAGCCCAAACCCGGCTGTTGCGGGGGGCCATCAGAATAGGGAAAAACCTTTGAAAGCCCACTGCCCAGTCTATCCACTTCACCACCCACCAACACCAACACCAACACCAACAACAGCAATAGCAACAAGGATGGGATCCCAGTCGCCATTCCCGAGCTCATTCAGACTCACAACCCCCTCCGCAAAACCCCCAGCCTCATCAGTCTCAGACTCACTCAAGCAACTGCTCGATCATTCTCGACAACTCCATTCTGGAATAGCCAGTGCCTCAAGCCTTAACACGAACTCTGGTTTCAACCAATTCTCTGGCGCAACGAACGCATCTAGTAACCTCACCGGGACCCTTCCTACCGTCCAGCTTGGTCTCGATCAGATCGAGGCCCAATCCAGGAGACTTGTTTCGAAGATCAGGAAAAATGACACCCTCGACGCGTCTCTGTCTCTGTTTGGGGGCGGCCCAGCTAACTCTCACAGGGATGGTCGAAGTCTCACTGCTCTGAACGGTCAAGGTACCAGCTCAAAGGCCCACTATCTTCTAGCCGGGGCTGGGGTTAATGCCGAGGAACTAGGAAAGACCATCGATGGCGTCGATCTCCGAGGTACATTCGAACCTTTGCAGCCCTTACAAGATACCGACGTTGAGGTATGCACTTCCTATCTCGCGATCTCCACCGATCTCAGTTTTATTGATCAGTCTTTCTTCGATCAATAACTTGTAGGGGTACCTAAAACATGAACACGAACAATCTATCATCGCGTCAATTGAGGAGGGGAGGAGACAGACCGTCCAAGACTTCTATCAAATCTTAGATCGATCAATGAGACAAAACTGGGAAGAACAGAAGGAACTTCTATTTGAAGAGCTGGCGCGCCATCAGCCTCAATCCTCGAGTGAAGGCGGAAATGTGATATCGATGTTCTCAACCCACTCCTCCCTCAACAATCTATCTGAAATTGCCAACTCGCCCACTGGCTCACCCGAGCAATCATCCCGGAGGTCCCAGTCGAGACTCCCATTTTCAGGGAGCACCAACTTCAGTGAAATCCAATCCGGCGTTGGTCCTCGAACCGGCCCCAGTCAGACTGACATGCACGGAAAGATGATGAAATATGATCAAGCGGTCTCCAAGCTCAATGAAAGACGTCTCCAGAATGCCTACTTTCCAATCGTCCATGCCTTCAAAGACGCTAGCTTGTCAGTCACCGAAGAACAGGCCAGATCATCCCAAAACGCACCCCTCAGCGACACATGGAATCTTTTGGCTCAACTCGTCCAGGAAAAGAATACTGGACTGTCCGATCAAGATAGCGAGACGATCGGCGGAATTCGGTTGACTACCATATCAGCCGAGCGTAAATATGCTAAACATTACTTGGGTGACCCTCAGAGTCTTGAAGCCAAAAACGTTCGCAAACAGTTAGCCGATGGTGCCAAAACACATCTGGAACAACAGTCAGCCATCTCATTTCCCCTATCTCCAGAAAATCCACCTTATGTTTTTGGTACTGTTCAATTGTGATCAAGCACTGATTGTGATATGATTGGTCAGATTCGTCGCCCATATTAACATGCAAATTGCCGCACATCCTCTAGAGGCTACCCTTGGTGGTGACCCATCAACAGCCAACAAAGTCAGAGCTTATGTTGATCTGAAATTTTGTAAAAATGGAACTTGGACAGATAAACGGCTAGAAGTCAGTTCTTTCTCTCGAAAAACGTCTTTCTTTGAAAGATTGAAGCTGATTACATTTCTCGATTGGGTTTTGAAAAATGGTGGTTTCGACCCAAAAGATCATCAATAATACGCCAGTTTGGGCCAGAATATTCTACCTGTTGCGGATTGGGCAGATTTCAGAAGCCGTGAAATTTACCAAAACGTATGAACAGCATATTCGAAAAACCGAGCCGAACTTCTTATCCTATTTCTCTTCGTGGGCTTCGAGTCCCGATCGCCGTTTATCAAAGACCCTACGGGACAGATTCTTAGCTGAATACAACCAAAGGACTCGAGAGGTTAGTGGGGCCGAAGGAGGATTTGGATCGGGCACCAGTCATGCGACCGCCGCCAACGTGGATCCATTCAAACATGCCGTCTACAAGATCATCGGAAGAATCGAAATCCAACGCAAGAATGTCCCAGTGGCTATTGCCAGTATGGAAGATTGGGTTTGGCTGCAGTTGGTCCTTGTCAAGGAAACTGACCCAGCACTCGATCATCCTGTCTCTAGCAATAACAGCTCCATCTCTTCCAACCATGAGCGTTACGGTTTGGAAGAGTTTGCTCAAGTGATCTCTAAATACGGCGAGAGTCACTTTGATCCCAACGGTAATCGACCCTTAATGTATTTCAGAGTGCTTTTGATGAGCGGCCAATTCGAAAAGGTATGCAAATCTATCGGCAACCCGGTTGATCTGTGGAAAAAAAAATCAGAGAGTTAATTTACATATTCTCTTTTCCTTGTAGGCCTGTCTGTTCCTTCAACAAAAGCCACACTATCAAGTGGATGCGGTACATTTTGCCATCGCCCTATCATACTATGGTTTACTACGTATATCTGACAGCGCTCCTTCGACCGAGGGGGGAGCTTGTAAGTTAAATCTTAGCATTAGTTCCGTATTTATGTTTAACTGATGAATGTCTTCTCGCATGGTGCTTTCCAGCCTCTCCCAAAGGCAGATCGTCAAGCATGAGCCTCCCGTCGGTGAACTTCGCGCGCCTGATTTACCGATACACCCGTCTATTTGCCAAGAGCGCACCTGAAGTAGCAGTACAGTACTTGTATTTGATCTGTCTCAATGCCGATGCTCCGCCGCCTTCATTGGGCCAAAATCAGGTCACACTCTGTCATACTTATATCGGAGACCTCGCCGTCGAAACCGCTTCACGAGAAGAAATCTTGGGGGATGTGCGTAATGATGGTACCCGGATTGTCAGTACAGATATATCTCGATTCAATGTGTCGACCTGGATCATTATCTAATTACTTTTTCTGCGTAAAATGCGGTTTTGTAGCCTGGAATGATTGAAAGGGACTTGAGCTTGATCAAGCTATCCAATCAACGAGAGTATCTGGAAACGATTGTCAAGCAAGCAGCCGAGCGTGCTTTCAGGGAACGACGATTACGGGATGCAATCCGACTGTTTAACATAGCGGAAGAGTATGACCGGGTGATTGCGGTGATCAACATCGAGCTAGGGAGCTCGTTATTCCAGCCCGGGAGCAAGCCTGCCTCGAGTCGGATCGGCGACGAGACAAATAGTGCCGGGCCCAAGGGCGCGACCGTCTCGCTCACCGCCTCTGAAGATATCGTTGCCGTCGCTAATAACGTCTTGGCTCATTACGATCGCACCTCTACTATCTCAAGTCGCATCACCCGCAAGAATCGCGATACTTGCGCTTTGCTGTTAAGATTCAAAACCGTCTTGGATTTACATGAACAGGGCAAAAATGAACAAGCCTTGGCCGTAAGTGTTCACATGTCGCTTACTCTACAACGTCTTTGTTATTTGATGGTTCCCACATTGAGCGTTTTTTTATGGGGGCACATGTAGATATTGGATTCTATCGATCTCTTGCCGACTGGAAGCGATCTGGTTCAGATCATACGAAAGTCGGAGCAAGTGAAGGATTTGGACGATACGATTGTCAAGAACTTAGATGTGATCGTGCTTAGTGGGATGAACATCCTCTACCAGGTGTTCAGTACCTTCAAAGATAGTCCTTATGGTGATGCCAGTCGCCAAGCTGTAAGTTTTGATTTTTGTTTCTTCCCCGAAAGGATTGTCGTCTTTTTTTTGGTTCACTGGATGGTCATTCTATCTTAATCTAACCTTCTTGATACTGATGTTTTGTTCTTTTGGTTCACCCATTATCTTCATCTTTTTTTACGTTGTCTTTATCCCATCAGAAAATGGCTGAGATCAAAACTAAAGCTCGAGCTATCACTACTTTTGCGGGGATGCTAAGATACAGATTATCTCCTGAGACTTACTCTCAACTTAGTAGACTTCAAGCTTATTTACATTAAACATACAACTCAATAACAAAAAAGATTAAAGTTAACATTCTCGTTTCTTAATTATATATATATTGTACTTATTTTTTTTTCTTGAAATTTGGTGAGAGAAATACTTCTGGGTGCCTGCTTTTGTCCACTTGACCATAATCGTCATGTTGGTAATGAAAGAAGCATCATGGATTCATGGATTTCAAGCTCCTTGTGAGGTGTTTATTTGGTAGAATTTCTTTCCATGTTTCTGTGTATTGAATGATTCATGCACAAGCTGAAATCGGATGTATACAATATGCCAAGAATTTGAATATCATTTCTTCAAAACAAAGGTTTCATGCATCTATAACAATGACATTGATGGAAAGAGATAGATGAGGATCCAGGGGAAAGAGCAGAGTAGGCCCAACTTTTGATTCAGTCACTGGTCAAGGTTGAAGAATGCTAAGGTACAAATGACTATGACTATTCTCAAAGAATTGCCTGCTATATGTCCTCTCTATGGATTAGGGTTGCTGTGGGACAGAGTTCTTGCTCTACAAAAGCAAAGAACTACTGAGTACATCCAGATCAGTCCTGTGTGATCAGCAATTCACTTTCTCATCCCTGCCGCCAAAAAACTGTCTGAAATCAAGTGTACTCACCTTGGCTAATTCATCATTTTCTTATGGTCTACCAACATGATCTCAATATGATGCTTTAAGTATGTTTTAGCTCTCAATGATGATCCTCATGCCATCAAAATTAATTCATGATGACCAATCCAGTCATTAATCATGACAGTTACCCGGTTAGTAATCTCTTGCTTTTTTTTTATGAAAATGATAGCATATTCCTATGGTCTTTGTTAGCTCATCCAAAAGTTCTGCATTGCTTATAGTAGAGGGGTTCCTCTTTGCATCAGGAAACAAATTAGTCCTCAAGCTTGAGCACCCTTGCTCTCTCCAGGCCACTTTCTCAGGAAACATGATGATCTATGTTGGCTGATGTTGTGTTTCAACATTCCTGGTAAGCTTGTTTGCCATCATTTCTGGCTTGATTTGCTCCAGGGTTGATTTAGCACAAACAACATTCTCTGGATGATTTCTGAGACATCTGCTATAGGGCTCTCTTGCTCATTTTCTGTTGAAAAAAGGTCATTTATATACACTTATACTGATAATTAAGAGAATCTTTTGCAAGGATTAGAGATACCAAGATCAATCATGACTATTGAAGTGGCTTTCTGTGATCCTTCACATGGAAACCTTCTGGGATCTGTGCAAATTTTTTCTCCTTTTAAACCATTAGTCTAGCAGTGTACAAGCGTCTTGGGGCCTTTGTGTAGGATGAGGAGAGAGTTTAACAATCATACATAGGACAGATTGGTTTTTTTGTTTGATTGCATTGTTGTCATGACCTGCATAGAGGGTGACAACAATGCACAGTGAATACCAAACTGTGAGACACTCTTCAGAGTTTAGAGCTTCATATTGGGAAAGCATATGGTTGATAATGGGTGGGTAACCATTGCCAATATTGTCCCCGCAGCTTGGACATGTACAGTGGGTGGACCATTATTTTTGGCTGCTTGTTTTAGATTCTACAGCTTCAAAGCACAAACTTCAAGTCACAAGACTTGGTGAAGGGGTGAAGAATAGGTCCCAGAAAATGAATATGAAGAAATAAAAACAAAAAACAAAGTTTCAAAATTTGTGAAAAATAAAAAATCAAAATGTTTTTTTCCAAAAGCTTTGTTATTCATTTTGGGGGAGTGGAAGTGCTGAGAGAAGGAAAGAGTGGAACATGACAAGAATGATTATAAATGAAAAAAATTGGAACCAAAAAAGGTTGAGCCAGGTTGGTTGTCCAGATTGGAGTCAAAACAGTAAATTCTAGTGATTTACTGCAATGTGAGCTGGTGAATGCCCCACTCAACAACTGGTTAAAACGATATGGTAACCACTTTTTCCAAAATTTTCATTTAGAATCATTCTTCCCAATTCCCATTCTTTCTTTCTCACTGCACTCACACTTCCCCAAAATGAATATCAAAGCTTTTGAAAAAAATCAATTTTATTTTTTATTTTTCACAAAATTTGAAACTTTGTTTTTTGTTTTTATTTTTTCATATTCATTTTTTGCGACCTATTCTGCACCACTTGACCAAGTCTCATGAATTCCTACTGGTGCTTTGAAGCTCTGGGATCCAAAACAAGCAGCCAAAAATAATGGTCCACCCACTGTAAACGGCTCAGGGATCAAGGTTCCAAATCATCCCTACATGATGAAAATCTCAGTAAATCAGGAGTTCAGTTGGGAGGCAGATAAACTAAATACAACTCATCTGGTGCAGCTCAACTAACTATGATGATAGAAGTTAGAGAACAACTGGTTTTGATGCAGATGAAACACAAGATCAAAACAACTTTCACAAACATATCACTTCTTTTTCTACTCAAGGGATACATTGTTTTTCAAGAATGCACAAAATGTACCAAAAACCCAATATTGAAAAGCTCTTTTGGTTACTACATTCCTCTTGTCTTGATGTGTGTGCTTTGGAGAAGCAGGTAACAATGTGAACTTCTCCCATCTTGAAAAAAAATGCAATGTAGCATTACTCCTTCAGCAGAAAAGCACACAGTGTCACAGACACACTTCATGGTCTCAAGCTGTATGTACAAGTGCTCTCCAGCCTCTCTTGATGGAAATGATGAGTAGAGTTTCCACAACTTTGGAAGAGGATCTTTGAGATTTTGTCAAATTCAATGAGGTTATGTGAAGTTTAAAATTTGAAGCCAAAATTTCAAGTAACTTTTCAGGTTGCATGTCTGATGAGAGTGAATGTATTTCTTAAAGTGTACCATGGTGATAAATAAGCAAGCTCATGTCTCCTCTAGCTTGCTCAGCCTCTCCGTCGAACGCACGAAGTGCGGGAGAGGCTTGTGACCAAAACAAACATACCCGCGTGTCACTTTCGCGTTTTTAGGGTGTTTTTTTGCGCAGAAAATTCTAATGTATCACTTTCTACACTTTTGTAGGGGAAAAATCAGGGACAGCATGCCCCAGATGCTCAAGTCAATTGTAATCAAGGAAATGTCCAGAAATATTTACAACTACATTCTAGAGAAACTTTGTAATCAAAGTTTCCGCTCAGATTTGTGCTTTTTGCTTATGTAATAGCTTCTCAAGGCTCGGAACTCAACTTGGATTCTTTGATTTTTTCAATTTTTCATATTTTTCAAAAAAATCTTACTCATCTGAATTTCAGGAAAAATCCCTAAAATTTGCTGAGAAGATTGGCAACATGGTCAACTTTGACCATGCTGGATCTGCCTGAAAAAAAAGTTAAATTACATGCATGGTGGGCAATCCAAATTTTGCTACACCAAAACATGTCAATAGCGACACGCAAGCTTGTGTGTATTTGTCACAAGTCCCTCCTTCGGAGGCTCGCTTCGCGAGTGGCGCCAGCCAGCCAAGGTCACCAGGCCCGCAGAAGCTTGGGACTTGTCTCAGGTTAGATGTCTCCTGTTTCCCAAGTTCCACTATGTAAGATCAAACAACTTCATTTGGGCAAAACCTTGTTTAAAAAGTAATGTCCCAACAGTGGCTTGAACACTGGACCTTCAGATGAGCTGGAGGCCGGGTCGGATGTACTCCGAAACCGCGACTTCAGTCTGACGCTCTCCCAACTGAGCTATTGAGACCGCTCGATGACGTAAGATCGCGTCTCACGGTTAATATAGCTCAAACCCTCTCTCTACGCTGCAAAACTAAGTTCGTAGTGGAATCGGGGATCTCCCATATCAACGGCTGGCAGCTTTGCCCATATTACTCAAGTATTTGTGTATGCAAAACAAGTCACACCAAGGACCAAGGTATGAGTGTGGAAGTTAAACTTCAACAGGCATTTTTACAGGTGATGACCGCGAAGGTGGAGGGACAAATGCTTGATTTATCGTCAGTGCGGGTGGTATGTTGAGTCATATTTGATCGGGAATATAATTTGCTGCCCTTGTTCCTTACAGGCATGGAAAGATGAATTAAGACAAAACGGTGAACTAGAATGGAGGGGGTGGTTGCAAAGAGGGCAGAAACACAACTGCAGTGACAATTAAAGCTGCTTAGACAAGTCTCCGGCAACCTTAGCACCTTCCTACAACACAAAAAAGCATTCCCTATCAGTCTCATGAAGGATACTTACAGAACGTCATTCAACAATACGTGAGGGAATTTCAAACTGACTCGAATGACGGATCGAAGTAAATCGAAACCTATCTCGCTCTTTCCCCCTGTTTGGATCACATTGGCAATTTTCTTCCCTCCTTCGGTATAAGCGAGTATTAGCTTGTTAGAGCTTATGCTTTCTTCGTCTAACGTCGCATCAAGAAACATCTTTTGATCAATCTGTAATTAAAATTGATTGTACGTAAGAGCCTGCGAATTTCACGGGAGGGGGGGGGGGGCAGAGGTTAACTTAAGGATACGCACAAGATTGATCGTGATAACTACTGGGATAAAATTCTTGATTGATAATTGATCACCATGCTCTGCATCCGTGTCCTTCAATTCGAAGTCATATGCTTGGCTTGATGGTTTGCCTTTCGAGGAACGATTCCGCCAAAGAAGCCCCTGGATACCAGTTTCTTCGACCATACCATCGTTTTGTATTGAACTCGAGGTTTCGATCTCGATTGGAGCAGCAACATCTGGACTCTTGGTTCGTTGGAAACCCACTTCGGCTGTTTTGGGTAACTTCAGATTGCATAGTGCCTTGTGAACTGCCATACATATTACATCCATCGCGTTTCCCGCTGAGGCAGATATCACGACTGCGTCAATATAGATCACCCAAGCATGGGTAGACGAAATTCGAAGTTGTTCGGAGGATCCTAGGGGCCCATAAATCATATTCAGATAGCTCGTATATAGCTGTGCCGGGTCGTTAGGTAAGGCAATCAATGCTGCAGGTGGACTGAGTACCGGGATCAGTAATTTTGCAAAAAATGACCTCCGGGAAGGTAAAACCTCGAAATAAAAGAAATTAAACTGACAAGTCCACTGAACACTCTATCTTAGCTCCATGTGCATCAAAATCTCTCTGTTCTACTTCCAGTTTACAGCCTACGATGACATCGGTAATAATATTTTCGGAAGAAGTTTTCAGCTGGCAGCGTGCACTCCCGTTGGACTGTAGTGAGACTTCATCGATCAGGTTGATCGGTCGATAGCTGAACGGAGTTCGACCATCTGCTCGGATAGAAGGGTTACTTGTCGAGGATAACGAATCCGAAAAGAAAGCCGCCTCAGTGGTAGAAATCATCAAGATCGAGTCCTAGTTGCCGAAATTGCTGAACACGTCTGAAAAGTTGGTTGGCCGATCGCCGGGTAGGTTTCCCGGTGAAACTCCAGCTTTGGAGTTGGGGCACCCACAACAATTCTCAGGCCCCTCGGCCTCGCCTTCAAACCCTGCATACGGCGCGTCAGTTTGGCCCCCTGTGTATTATCACATCACAAGTCCTTTGTTTTCTGAACCCACTCTCATTGGGGAGGGGGAAGGGGGGTTAGTCTCACATGGATTGAAGATGACTCAAGGAACAACAAATTTTTACTTGATGATCAAATTTTGCAACAAATGATGCATTCTTTGCTGAGGGAAGAAGAATCTGCAAAGTGGATCAAATGAGTTTCATCCTGTTGCCTGCATCATCATTGCGGCTTACCAGCTATGTATTACCTCAGACCATCTCCACCGCGGCTGCTAAACCAATTAGGGCACGTACCATAGCCGCCTGCAGATTGCCAATTTCAATTTTTTTTGGCAGTAAACATTTCTGAGCAAAAACATGTACCACAGGGAACCATCCAATGGGTTGTATGCACAAATACTACCACTACCACCTCCGCTACTGCTTTCACCAGAAGACAAGGCCTCAAAAAATAGACCTCCAACCACAAATACAGCTGAAATCACCCCAAATCCTTCTGCAACCACCCCAAAACCATTGGCAACCACCCCAAAGTCATTAGCAACCATCCCAAAATCATTGGCAACCGTCCCAAAGACACCAGCAATGACCTCCAAAGAGCCAGAAATCAACTCCAAATCCCTCCAAGATTCTGTAGCATCCGATGGAAACATGCCGCACACTTCTTGGACTATGCTTGAGAAATGTAAACTTCTTGGATTGCTCCATGATCAAATGTCCGCGGGACATGCAACTGATAACAGAAACTTGAAAAACAAAGGTTGGACCGGTGTAATGAAAGGTCTAAATGAATACTTCAACTTAAAACTCACTCGCAATCAAATCAAAAACCAGAAGAATGCGATCTGATCCCTCTTTTTTGACTACAAGTTCCTCTGTGAACAATTGGGCTTTGGTTGGGACAACAAAAAATTTACAGTTACAGCCAATCCACGGACCTGGGACCTGGGATGAGCTCATTCAAGCCCATCCAAGAAGGAATTTTGGCAAGTTGAAAGATAAGCCATTTCCTATCGACAAACTTTCAGAACATTGTGGTAAGACCAATCAAAACCAGTCACACTCTACAAGCACTTTTCTGGATCCATTTCACATCCATTACACATCATAACAACTCTCAAATCAACATTATACATATGTAATACACTCATGGCCACCTTCACACCTTCAATCACTCCATAGACAATACCATCAGCTCCACCAGATCCAACAACCCATCAGTAATATTCTACATGGATCACCAGCCACAGTTGGTAACAAATAAGTACAAAATAGGTATAAAATGGGAGAAAGTCCACCATCCAAGAGAGCCAGACTGTTAGGAAAGACCCCTGTTCTTCATCATCCTTGTTTCTCTTTGTTACATACCATGGCACTTTCTACAGTAGCTGCATATGTCATGTTTCCATCCCTGTTGTTTCAGCCTTGTTTTCCCCATGCTACATATGTCATTCCTAAGCCTGTCTCCCAAGCCATGTTGTTGCCTTGTTACATGTACCCTGTTATGATGCCTTGCCCCTTGTTTTCCTTATCCCCTCCCAGAAGACTTATATGTAGTGCTCTCCTTGTTCATACCATTTGTTCCATCATCAGAATTGTCATTATTGATCCCTGGTCATTGATTTAGCATCACTTACTTGGAATATATTTAGCATTACATACTTGAGACATTTCACACAGACTTATTATCTTCATACCTTACCCTTTACAAATCCTACATCTTCATTTAGCCACACCTTTCTTTAAGAGTCCGTAATCTTATTTCTTGTTCTTCTTACTCTCCCAGTAACCAGAGAGGCAGCCCTTCAAGCATCCATCCCTCTCTAAGCTCTATTCCCTCAAAAAGTAGTTACACAACATGTATTTTTTGGCAACTTTGCAACAGGAGATAGTGTGAATAAAGATTTACCTCCAGATGAGGATCCTGTCAACACCATTGATACATCAAACCCCAATGCTAATCCGACTACTCCGCCGGCTCCCACTTTGACCTCAAAAAAGAGAAAGAATAAGAAGACAAAGGAGGTGCAACAGTGGGCCAGCTACACTAACCGTAGTGTTAGCATAGCGTAGTGTAGCAAAAAACCGCTACAATTTAGTGTAGCATTAGCTCTTTTTTCATTTTCTGCGCTAACGCTACGCGCATGGTGCGAAAACTTGCGCTAATGTTTAGTGTAGCGTTAGCGCAATTCCCCCCATCTGTGCTAACGCTACACGCACAGGCCACCAAAAAATGCCCGCTACGCTGTGTTACAGCAATTTTTAGCAGTTTTTCAGAGGTGCACTAACACTACACCAAAAAATGGCTATTCTTAGCACCGCTACAAATCAGTGTAGCACAGCGGCAGTAGCGGCGTGCTAACACTACACAAAAAAAGAAGTTTTTGGCACCGCTACACTAAGGCCCGTATCATAGCGGCCCACCTCTGGGTGTGGTATCAAGTTCCTCTGACTCCGATACCAAGGTTCAACCTTCTAACACCCCAAGTCAGTCTAACAAGTTGGATTCTAGCAAACGGATCTGTGAGACAAAGGGGAGTGTGGTTACAAATTTTATTAGCGGACTGATTGGTGTGATCAACCATGCAAGTGATTTGATTTCTAATCTAAACAGCCAGCATTCTCCCAAGAAGGAATCTCAACCAGGTAAGTGGCTTATCAATGTTTTCCAGAATATTCATGACAGTTGTTAATTTTTACACTTTTGTCCCAGAACATGTGCAACCCAATAACATGACCTCAACACAACAATTGATCAGTGCACAAGCACTTAAAAGCCTTGCAGATCTTTTTCTGAACAACTTTGAGGAAAACTTGTAAATTTGCTATGCCTGGGTCCTCAAGGATGACAAAAAGGCCGCAACCTTTCTGTCCTTAGCTCAAATCTGCTCCTAAACATTTTGCCAGATGTGGCTTGAAAGCAAAGTTAACACCCATTGAATATTGAATCTCTTTTTTTTACTATTCCCTGTCTTTCACCTTGTTGTGTTTGTTCTTCATCTTTTGATGCTCAGCACTCACAGCTGTGGCTTTTGATGCATTTTTTTTTGATGCATTGATTGAGCCTCTAATTTTTTGATTGATTGTTCCTCTGCTTCTCCTATTCATTCTTGCTAAAGAAAACAAAGTCAACCTTGTTCTGATGAAAGAAAAACATTTTCTTGCTGTCATTGACCTTAAATATTATTTTCTTTTTGATCACTTGGAAATGCACACAATCAATTGCTAAGTGCAAGCAATTGATCACTTCAAATTGCCAGCAATTGATTGTATGCATTGATTGCTTGGAAATGCATGCAATAAACCTCAAATCATAAACAATTGCTTGTAAATGCAAGCAATTGACATCAAAAGAAAATTCTTGGAATTTGTGATTTTTGCCAGCCTTTGAGGTGCGGAAAAGATATGAGAGGCCTTGTTGAGGTTGTATTGCAGCATATAGGACTTGTATTTATAGACAAGAGATAGAATGGGGAATCGGGCTCAAGATAGAAAGATACAAGATAGATGTGAGGAGTCCCATTGGATGGGATGACTAGTAATACAATAAGATAAGGAAAAGAGACTGGACTTAGTTAGGTTTGGTCCGCCTTTAGTAAGTCTAATATACAAGGTAATGAATTCAGATAGATAAGAAGCAAGATGGAAATGATATAACCAAGAGCTGATGAAAGTATCTAAGGATAAGGAAAGAGGGAAGAGAGAGAGTGACTAAGAGTGGTTGACACAGTCTTAGCAGCTGGATAAGGCTCTGCTGGAACTATTACCTTATCCGGGAGTTGGGACTTCACAAATTGCAAGCAATTGATTGCTTGCATTGATTGCTTGGCTCAAATGAAAGGCAAGCAATCAATGTCAAAGTAAATCTGAACACTTGGGCAATGCAAGTGATTGACCGAGAGGATTCTTTGCTTGTTATTGCATGTAATGAAGAAGGCAAAAAAACAGTACAGAGAGGATTTGAAACAGAAAAAAAACATTGTAGTTGCCAATGAGATCAAGTAAGGCGGGTAGTGTTTGTTGTTTCTTGGGATGTATAATCTATGTATTGCTTCCACATATTCTGTGCAATGTGACTGCATCATATCTTCATGTGGGTGTCCTCAACTGCAGGGGAATAAGTGGTGTTGGGGGACTTACTGTTTCATTATATAACACAATATATTTGCTAAATAAAATTTGATTATTCAATGCCAACTATCATTCACGTTTGTTGAAGCCATGTTGAATTCTAGTCCAACTCATTCATAATTTTGTTTCTACATTTCCAATTAAAGTACCATACATGAGGGTGACACAGTTCAGACACCATTCAGATGGAAAGCCCTTCTGGTCTGAACAGTGTGGGATATGTCACCACATTGCACTCAAGCGCAATGTGGTGACTGTAAGCCCTTCTCCTCATGACTTACACAAACATGTCACCCAGATTACATAAGCTTAGTTCCGCCTTGTATTTAGTCTTACACTTCCCCTTCACCCTAGACAGCAGAGATCTTTCTCTCCTGTCTAGGTGAGTACCCTGCCTTCTTTCTTTCTCTCCTCATTTCCATTTCCCACTTTCCATCAATTGTAGATACTAACAGAGAGATCTTTCTCTCCTGTCTAGACTGAAATAAAAGACACATTGGTACTAGAATCTTCTCCGTGGACGCTATTGAGCGCCTTTTCTAGCACCTTTCCGACAGACAGTGAAGGACTCGACGGAGTCCTTACAGTGACATTTCACACACTTTTCACATCAGAGGGCCATGTCCAGCTGAGTGTACCCAGGGGACATGCCCCTCTTCAGAACATTCTATGAATTGTCACCCTATTGTACTTGCGTACAATAGGGTGACAGATCACACACCAATCACACACTTTTCACACCAGAGGGGCCTGTCCATTGGGTAAATGAGGGGGGCATAATCCGGCCACC